TATGAGATTATCTCAGACACACAGCTGGTTAGTTCCTTCTAAGTGTCACGGGTAAGGTTAGTCATTTTATGGCAGAAAGTAATCAGTGTGATTAAGCATGAGCTACCTCTGATCAATCCATGCTGAGCATTCCCAGTCACATCCTTTGTCTTTCCAGCACCTGTTCATATGAGACGTGCTCTGTGATTTTTCCAGGAAGCAAAGTGAGGAGCTGACAAAAAGCTTGTAGATCCTCCGGTTGTCTCTCTTGCCCTTTGTGAAGATGAGTGCAACATTTGCCTTTCTCTCGTCACCAGGAACCACGTTTAATCTCCATGACCTTTCAAAGATGATGGAGTGTCCTTGATACAAAAGTGATCTCTTTCAATACTCTTCAGTGCTGCACAGAGTGTTCCATGGGTGTGATGTGTTCAGGAGAAGCAGCTGAAGTTGGTAAAATCATTCAGAGTATGGGGGCATGGAGGACAGCATCTACTAGGGCTGCAATTCAGATTTCAGTTTTATTCTCTAGTATGAAGGAGCAGGAGCTGTAAGTCAAACTGAATTCCCATTTGTGAGAGATATAAGTATTACATCTTGCCAGAAAAGGATCCCATTACCACCTCACAGTCTACGTGGATTCCATCTGCTTTACTTCTATTACTATTACTATGTCATCCCTTAGTTTTTTCAAATGTTTACCTCTATATCCTTTATAATTCAGGATTTGTTTCCACCCCTCCCCCTATGAGTGGCATGTTTTGCTCCTCTTCTGCCAGTCTGTGAATTCATTGTTTGCTGGCTGGCAAGGCACCAGTTCTAGGGTGACAGATGGGGGCAGACTGCAAACCAGGCAGTTGCTTCCCAGCCCGAATGATATTTTAATAAGTACAGAGAGGTGACAGAGGGAGAAGCTTCTCACTGGAATGACTGGCAGTTTTGTTTTCAGCCTGAAAGCGCTAATAGATGACTTTTGGCATCAATCCAAAAATACAAAACCAAAGAAACTAGAGGCAGAAAATCCCATTAGCTCCTAACTTACCCTCTTTTTTAAGGGTTGGAGAACATTTTTCTCTCTGGTCTATTCTCCAGATAGTGAATTGTTTCCTTGTTTCTTGTATTTAAGTTCTCTCTGAGGAATTCTATAATTTGGGAGACTTGCCTTTCCTTCTCTTTTTTCATTTTATTCACTTTCTCACTGTCTTCCTTCCTCCCTAAGCAACCCTTCTTCTTCTAGTTTCTTTACATTCTTCACAGATCCACAATGAAGTCTGCCTGAATAACAGGCCTTACCATCTTGGCTTCCAGCTTCTGCATCCTGTGAAACAGCTGCTGCAGTGCCAGGCAATAAGATCTGCATGGCAACCTCTAGAATGAATGTCCCCTCCTCCTTGCCCTTCAGCTGTATCTCAGTTGCATAATACAAGACCTGCGTAGGGCTTGCTTTCATCCTTGGTTTTAGGAATAAAAGTGCTACTGAATAGAGCTCTGGCAAAATCCCACCAAAATCTGAGATCCCTCTGCAGTGTGAGCAGCACAGTGTTCTGCAAACAAACTGTAAGATAGTGAGGCTTTCAGAGAAGAAGATTCTTTTTCTTCCTACAAGTACAGGAAAAAAAGGTCCAGCTATCCCTGGGAAAATATCAAAATGGTGCTGGGGTACGACTGAGATCCCATACACTGATCAGAGAACACCTTGAAAACTTCTTAGTATTTATTTGGTGCCTACTTAGCAGGATTCAGATCTGTTTCAGATGAAGTACGAACTGGAAATTAATATGATTCCTGCTAAAATGTGGTTCTTCTTCTTTTCAGATACAATGATGGCACTGAAGGTTCAGATTCTGTTTGGCTTCCTCTGGTGTGTGATTTTAATGCCTATAGATGGCTTCCCAGTAGACAGCAATACTGAATTTCGCTCTGCTTTCTCAGTGGCCAGAACCAGCAGCATGGAAGGGAGCTCTGAGATGGTCATTACCTTTGACAAAGTGTATGTGAACATTGGCAATGACTTTGATCCCAAGACCGGGTTGTTTCGGTGTCGTATTCCTGGAGCCTACTACTTCTCATTCACAGTTGGGAAATACCCAAAGAAAAACTTGTCTGTCATGCTGATGAGAAACAAGAATGAGGTGCAAGTGATTGTGTATGATGAACATCACCGAAAGGAACGGAAGGTAGCCAGCCAGAGTGCCATGCTGCAGCTTGACTATGGTGACACAGTCTGGCTGCGTTTACACGGAGACCCCAAGTATGCTCTTTACAGCAATGTAGGCCCCTATACAACTTTCAATGGCTATCTAATCTATCCAGACACTTCTGCCTTCTTCCAGAACGCTCTCAGCTCTCAAGAACTGGGGCCTCACCGTCACAACGTTCAGAAACTTCCAGGAGAGCAGAATGCAGCTTCACAGCGACATATGTTATCCGATCAGCCCAAGAAGGAACAAGACCCTCGCTCTGCATTTTCTGTCGCCCGCTCACAAAGTCTCCTGGGCACAGATGGCAAGCAAACCCAGCACGAGCCAATCACATTTGACACGGAGTTTGTGAATATTGGGAAAGATTTCAATTCCTCCACTGGCATCTTCTCATGCCGTATACCTGGTGCGTACTATTTCTCCTTCACCATTGGCAAAATGCCCTTTAAGACCATGTCAGTGAAACTTATGAAGAACCACAATGAGGTGCAGGCCATGATCTATGATGACAACCACTCCAAGAGGCGGGAGATGCAGAGCCAGAGCATCATGCTGCCTCTGCAGTACGGGGACACCGTCTGGCTCTACAGCCATCAGCATGATGGCTATGGTGCCTACAGCAACCATGGCAAGTACATCACCTTCACAGGCTTCCTGATCTATTCGGAGCCTCAGCCAAAGCGGCTCCCAGGTGCCAGCTCACTCCAAGGGTCAGAAAATTAAATGTGGATGTGAAAGGAGCATAAGAAAAGCCAGGGTGCCACGAACTTGGGTATAGCTCCTCTTTGGATATAGTCCTCTACTTTGAGCATGCTATCATGTGTACAGTGCTTTCTTTATGCTGCACGATTGTGCTCTGACTGCAGGGCCATTGCTGTGTCTGTCATTCATCCATAGAAAAGTCTGTACAGGAATGTATGTGTGTGTCCTGTGTTGGTGTTTGACTTAAGCATAAAGCATGAGGTAGTTTTGGGGCAGGGGTGGGGCGATGTAGTGAAATGCTGAGGATCAGGGAAACACTGCAGTCGTGTTACTGCAGATCTCTAGCATCCAGAAGGCAAAGGATGTGGTGACTTTCCTTGCATATGTGGGAAGGAAATAAATGTAATAAAAAATACAAAAGGTGTAAAATTTCCTCAGGTTTGAATTTGTTGTTGCCTGTGAAGCTTGTGTTCTTGTCACTGCCTGAAGTGTCAGCTCAAGAGAAAAAGCAGCACAGTGTACAAGCTGCAGTATTGTACATTCATGTGTGCAAAGTGTTGGTACCTTTTAAGGTTTTATTGGAAGTGTCATAGTATTTGATGCTTTTCTGAATCTGAACCTCCTGAATCAAGAAGAATGCACAAGTGTTTAGGAATCTCATCTTCCATTTAATGAAAGCAATACATTTAAGAAAAGAAAAGTCTACTTCTGTTTCTTGTGGTAAAGGATGAGGTCTCAAATCTAGGAATGACCCAACCTCTGAAACAAGATTGCTTAGAAACAAGGTAAGTAATAGGAATTTTAGAAGTACTTTTAAAAATCTAATATTTAGGTCATGACTTACATGTGAATAGTATTGTGCCATGCCTTGACATTAACTTCTTCAGAAAGTAACTCCTTGAACATAAGGATATGGCTGAGGTTTATGTCGCACTGGTAACCTAGCACAAATGGGATCGAAGTTACCTCTAAGTGACACGTTCAGCAGTTGTGTTCCAGTGGTTTCCTACAGGCTGTGTTCCGTCGAGCCGTATTGCTGCTGCAGTGGGACTGCTGTGGCTGTAGAGGGCACTGGTATGTTCCTAAAAGGCAGCAGTTGGGATTTAGGAAACCAGCAGGCTGGAAGCTTCAGCGCAGTGCGGTGAAGTGCTGCTGCAGTTGAGCACAGTTAAACCCTGGTTTGTCTCCTAAAATACACGGCAGAAATGCACCATCTTAAGCATGCCTGGAACTGTGTGACGTCCCTTGAGTTTAACTTGTAGGCTGCGCTCAACAAGTAGCAAAGCCCTTAAATTGACCTTAACAGCATCCTGAATTCAAAAGAGTACACTTGCATCTGCATCACCAAGCCAATCCCCTGGATCTTTACATACAGCTCTGACTTTGCATTTTGCAGCAAGGCAGTATTTCCAGGCACTGCTACCATCCCAGCTCAGCCTTTTAATGCTGTTCTGTGCTCAAACTGGATGTGTTTGCAACCACTCCCTAGCTTTATCACACTGTATGCATCACAGACATTAAAGACTAAAGGTATGTTTGGGAAAAGGATGACTGGAAGTACACTAAAAAAAAAAAAAAAAAAAAAAAAAAAAAAGGCCAAAGAACACGGAGATAGGACACTATAGGACACTAGCATCCTAGCTTCCTAGAAGCTATACTTCAAATATAATGATAATCTTAGTCCCTATGCCTACATCCTTGGGGGGGGGGGGGGGGGGGGGAAGGGAAGCTTTATGAATGGTGTAAATCTGTTCTGTAGCCTTTTGTAGCCCTAACCTGACCTCTAAAACCACTCTCTGTGTCTTCTTGCTTCCAGGCTTACTCCTGTCTCAGAAATACTATTTTGTCTCTCCATCTGCTGGGCAGCAGTGGCTTGGAGAAAAATAAACTAGGTCAAGAGCTAGCAGTTCCCTCCTTGAATGTCATACACCTCCTTTTTCAGCATGGAAAATTAAGAATGTATTGATAGAAAAGAAATTACAGATCCCACCATCTGCATGTGCAATGAATACTCAAAATTAATGTGGCAGCAGGAAACCCAATAGAAACAAACAAAAAATCAAAACCCTCCTGTGTAGATGATCATATTTATTTAATTCCACACAGCAATGTGTAAGATAAAGTTAAGAATCTCATTCTATAAAATAATTACGTTTCTGATTTTGAGTATAAAGATTGTGTGTTTGTTATGTTTGTCTTGTAAAGTGCCATAGCAGTACGGAAAAGAACTTCAGAAGAGATAAAATCTGCTGTAGAAATAACTAGGTCACTATACTTGGGAATTTAAATGAGATATAAAAAGTATATTCCAAACTGCTGGCTGACACAAAGCAGTATACATATGTAAATATAATATACAAATACAGGGAAGCTTTGTAGAATACATACAGTTTTGGTTGATCTTTTAAAAAAAAATGAACACATTATGTGGAAAATTACTTTGGGCACATAAAATGCGAATTGCATAACCAGGAAGCTGAAATTAAATGCACTACCTGTATTGTGAAACACAGCAGCATCTGCTTAGCTGATTACTGGAGAGGAGAAAAAAGACTGCATTTGGCTGAAACCACAGAAGGAATAGAGGACGCCAAGCTGAATTATTCAAGATAAATTCTGCTAAGACACCAGTGTAACATCCTGGAAAAAACCTGCCAGGACAACTCCCTAGAAAGCATCAGTGATCAAGATAGATAACACTTCTAAATAGCACTGCCTACATCAGCCCAACCCCCTTAAAAAAAAAAAAAAAAAAAAAAAGGAAAAAAAAAGGAAAGTGTGAGATGCAATTTTGAGATATGTCCTGTTCTATCTAAAAATAAAATGTTGTGTATAAATACAGAGAGCTGGATGAGAGAGAGATGTGGCATATTTCTGCAAAGTCCAGAATAATGTGGAAGGATTGCCAGCATTTGAAACAGCCCAGATTGCAGCTGAGGTCAGATGCACACCTTCCCATGGTTGTTTCCCTTATTAAGTGTCTCTCTTGGTCCTGGCCAGGTTAGAGTGATAAAAATGTTTCAGAGATGCTAAATGTGAAGGCTTTTCCTTCGAGGGCCAGGAAGCCAGGAGGAGGGTGGAATTTGCAGGGCAGAGCCCCTTGCACAGATCACGAAAGATTTCATCAGCTAACTGAGAGAAAAAATGGATCCAGAGATTTTTATCCAGACCCTGAACTGAGCGGATCTGATAGGCGCAGTAAACACTGGTGAAAAGCAGGCGGTCAAACTCTGTTAGAGGCAAAGAGCTATCAGTCTGTGAGTAATATCTCAGTTGCTGCTCAATCTCCATCGGTGTTTTGGGAACTTCACGCTCTAAGATCTGCATGAACCACCGTGCTGTGCGCAGGGAGGCCAGCTCTTCGTCCCGCAGCTGGATTGTCCCGTTGGCCTGAATGTCCAGCCTGCCCCAGAGCATCTGGAAGAGAAGAGCAGCACACGCATTGCAAAGCTGCCTGCTCGACCTCCGTCACTGCCAGCACCACACCCTTTCTCTGCCTGGCTCCATGCCTCGGCTTCCCCACGGAGCCCCATCCAGCCCTCACCTCCCACCTGCATCTCCCAACACCGGCCCACCCCACAGAGGTGTTTTCCAGGCGTTCCCAAAATACAATGAGAACAGCGCACAACACGAGAGTTTTTAGGTGCAGGCCGATGGGAGCACAGGCACTGCAGTGCCCTGGAGACCTCTAACATGACGTCGGCGTCCTCTGGGCCGCGGTGGGGTGCGTTGGTGCTGACATCGTCCCTGCTGTAAGGATGTTCATCTGCAAGACATCAGGCAGAGTTGGGCACCACAAGATCATGGCCCTTCCCATTTATTTCTATCATTTGGTTGTCAATAAAGCCTTCAGTATTTCTGAGCTGGCACTTGCAGCTTGACAATTATGACAGATGCTGACCTCAGGATTTCAATGAACAACGCAAGCATCATGAAAGAAGCAGAAGGGGTTAAGGGAGGAAAATTTGAGGTCTGGATATGATGACCTCCAGTCCTGCCATCATGGAGCTAAAGCAGCCAGGGGATTTGCTTTAGAAGACATCAAGGAAGCCCCTCACACTGAGCTGGGTGCAGCAGGAGTTGAGCAGATGGGTTGTGGCAATGGGTTTCTTTGTAGCTTTTGCAGGGAGAAAGAAATGCTGCCCAATGGGAAGAGTGCGTGAGAAGGCTCCTAGAACTTCTGGTGGAAATAGTACTTGATGCTCACCCTGTTTTTTCATTTGTTCCCTGAGCATCTGCCAGTGGCAGATGCAGATTATGAGGCTGTTCTCACATCCAGCTAGTTCCTTGCTGGGTCACCTAACCTCATTTATATGAGGATATTACTAATAACCTCAATTATTAATATGAGAGTCACATTAATTCTAATATTTATTAAATCTTCTGATGATTTAAAGTTCTGCATTTATTTTACCTTTTCTTTTACTTTCTTTGTGAAAAAAATAAAAGAGGAGCCACGTGTTTCTTCAGCCCAGGATTGTGGGATGGAGGCTGCAGCTCCTCCCTTCTCCATGTTGATCTGTGTAGTCACGAGCCAGGACTCCCTTCTATGGATCCTTCGCTCCAGGAAAGATGAAATATAAACTGGTATAAACTAGTAAGCTCTCTGACACTTATTTTTTTTTTCTCCACTTTTATATGGAGGAAGGCTTTTCTATATTAAGAAAGAGGGAGAATATATACTGAGTACTCCAGAGTTAAGGTCAGCAGGTGCTTATGAAAAGCAGAGAAATGATTTCATATTGCATGTGCGTGATGACTACTCCCAAGCCCCACTTCCAACTTTCCATATTTTCTAAAGCTTTTCAGAGAGATGTACAAGCTGCCTGTGCACGCTGTCTCCACAGGCTGAGATATGTTTCTCTGCACAGCTGCAGGCTCCCTGATCTGAGCCACTTGAAGCTTTGGAATGTGAGCAGAGATGTAACTGCTCTTTCCTCTTCCTCCATAGACGTGCCAGCAAAGCTTTTACACCATCTGAAAATTACTTTGTTGGGCTTCCCCTCTCAGCTAACTGATACACTAAATTCACAGAAACCTCTAATAAGAAACATCTGGCTGGCTTGTAAAGTCGGTGATAGCCGCAAAACTACTGTTGTTAATAAACATAACCAAAGCATAACAAATAATGTATTGAAATAGATAAATGTAATTTGAAGATGGAAAAAAATGATCCCTTATTTACTTCTATCATTTCACAGTAGTTCTTTTTCCCAAAAAGCATCTAGAAAACCTGCAGACATCATTGCAGGAGCAGATTTTTTCAGTAGAGACCAAGAAAACCCTCCTCCTGTCATAAAAAATAGCAGCAGGTCTTCATCCTGCAGGTAGGCATTAATGTCTCTCTGCTGTACAAAAGCCAGCTAGGACTCCAGCTAATACACCCTCTCCTACATCAGCACAGCTAGCTGATGCATTTGATCATATCTGAAGAAGCAGGCCAAGTGTAGTACTGCTGGAATGACACAAATATTTGCCAAGCCAAGAAGCTACAGCAACAAACAAACAGGTGCACTTCCTACCTGTTAGCCTCTGGGATCCAGCAAAGATGCACAGGATCAGCCAGGTGCTGAGCTGCACCTGGGCCATAGCAGCCATGCCCAGTAATGGTTCACATCCCCTCTGCAGACTGTGCCGAGTCTGAAGTGAAAGCTGTTTGCTGTGGTGTCTCTCCCGGCTGCTTCTGATCCAACAGCCTCTGCTAGAATAGATCCGCCTTTCTGTGTTTATGACTGCAGCCCTGGGAAGGGCCTTGCAGCTGAACTTGCTAACCCCAAAGGATATTTTTCATCGTATTTTGGAAACTTGGAAGACTTTGATGTGAAGGTTTTGGCAGAATTATTTAAGCTTCTCTTCCAAAAACTGATTTTCCACTGCAATTAATTATACACAGCTATTTGTTTTAAGAACTTTCATTACGCATGATTGCCTCTGAAGAAGGGGGGACCTCTTGGTCCCTTTCTCCTCTGCACAGTGCCATCCCATCTCCATGGAACTTCTCCACTCCTTGGCTTCATGTTCAGTTTTCCCTTTTACAGAGTTTGAAAATCTGCACACAGTCCAGAAGTGTCACAAACAGATAAGGCCAGCAATCTGGGCAGATTCATTCTAGGGCTGTAGCAGCCAAAGTATACAAGCAGGCAGAAGAAATGTTACTTGTTCAGCCCTGTAGCAAACCTTCAGGAAAGGATACTCAGTATACAGCAAGGATTGGAGTCAGTTAGGCTTTAGCACCTCATCATCCTCTCCTGTGACTTCTGGGTTACAATGAGCAAGGTCTGCTTTAGGTGTTGAGAATTACCCAGGTGAAACTTCATCTGATTCCCTTTGCAGAAGATAGCTGTGCTGTACACATCTTTGCACTTCTGTTACTGCCTCACTCAGGATGTTGTGTATTGCTACTCTGTATGGCACAGTATTGTTCCAGGATCACCAACAGGTTCTTGCATAGTTAGGGTCGTACGAATCAGTCATAAGTATAATTAAGTAATAGTGCCATCTCACTCAAGTTAAATATGTCCTTTGGGGAAATATGTCTACCTAAAAAAGAAAAGAAGTGAAGCTGAAGTGCATACTTTTCTCAGCAAGTTGGAGAATATCAGTTTGTAGTGGCTTTGGTCACCAGGTAGTTTATGAGATGACCTTCCACTTTATAAATTGACAATTAAGACAAATTGTGCAAACCATGCAGCCCGACTTTTGAAATTTCCAGTGTCTGCAGCTAGACCAATCAATATGTGGGCTTACAGCAACTATGAAAAAAAGCACAGATTTATTAAGAGAGTAGGGGACCTCAATATCCAGGGCCATTTTCCCCCCATTTGCATCAAAGTAAAACCTGTATTTCTGTCACAGCCCTGGCTGTCTTACAGCTAAACAATGCTTCTTTCAGTTTTCATTATTTTCTGCTTCTTCCTCTTTAGCATTCCTTTATTCTGGCATGAGATATCTTTTACTAAACTGTAAATAGCACTGCTACTCAAGAGATAGACTCTGATGTCCCATTTGTGCAGTGAGGTTGATGTGCCGTCTGAATCCTTTAAAATCCACTGTGTTCACATAACTGTCTAGAAGTTACTTTGCCAAAACAAATAAACAAAACAAAACAAAACAAAACAAAAAAACCAACAACGCTGCATCTTTTGGGACATGAAATAACCTCTTTTCAGCATGCATCTGTGGTGTTTTGCAATACCTGACAAAGCAGTCATCCAGAACTTTGGCCAACATCTGCATAAGTTATATTTGATCTCGTCAACAGGAATATGTCCTAGGAACTGCATGCAGCTGAAGTATCTACAAAAAGATAGTCATATTGGTGGGAGGAAGGAGAGAGAAGGCCCATAGACTGCGTTCAGATGACTGATCCAGCAGCAGGTAGGAGGTGGTAGCATAGGTAGTGTTTGTTGCCTTCAGCTGGTGGAGTTTTGCAGAATTGCCTCACTATCCCACAGGGAAAGACAACTGCAGTTACGATAAACATGTGCCTTAGGTGTTTGTAAACCAGCGGTAGTTATATGGGATGTGCTCCGAAGCAAGCAGGTGATCCTGACAGTTGAACATAGTCCCTGCCTGTGCAAATGCAATGTTAGGTGGTGCATCTGCTCCTCCTGAGGGGTTGTGTCCTTGCCAGCTATTCACAGCTGAATGTGCACAGTGCTGCTCCTCCACATGCCCTCTGGTCAGGCCATCTGTCACAGGAGCAGTATCAGAATGTCAGATTACTTCAGGGGCACCTTGGCTGACTGTGGCATTTACACAATGATCTTCTCAATCTGGGAGGTGGGAAAGGGAAAAAGGATATAGTCATAGAACCATGGAATTTCCTGAGTTGGAAGAGTCCCACAATGATTATTGAGTCCTACTCCTCACTGCACAGGACCACCCAAAATTCAAGCTCTATGACTGAGAGCATTGTCCAAACTCTTCTTGAACTCCAACTTAGGGCCATTACCACTGCCCTGTGGTACTTTTTCAGTGCCCAACCACCCTCTGGTGAAGAACCTTTCCTAATACCCAACCTGATCTCCCGACACAGGTCTTGGGTCCTGTCACAGTCACCAAAAAGATCAGTGCTGCTCATTTTCTCTCTTTGTGAGAGCTGCCATGAGGCCTCCACTCAGCCTCCACTTCTCTAAGCCAGACAAGCCAAATAACCTCAGATAATCCTTATACATATTACCCTCAAGACCCTTCACCTTTATAGCAAAAACACTAAGTAATAGCCTGAAGCAGTGATTGAGCACCTGGTGGGGAGGCAGGACCAACCCAGGGGAGCTCAGCTGCATGCAATGCCCCTGCGTGACTGGAAAAGCTGGAGCCAGGATCCACCCCTTCCAGACCTCATTTAAGGGTTGGCAATGGAGGTGAGGGTATCTTGCAGGAGCTCCCTATGTCCTTGAGGCTTTCTGAAGGTAAGCAGCTTCTTTTCTGTATATTTGTGTCTACAGCTGTTGTATTTCAGGAACCCTTGCTTGCTGTAGCCTACAATCTTGCTGCTCTGCTATTATTGCTGTGCTTTTTGTTGTATTACAACCATCTTTGTGTACAGACCAAAGTTTGTAGGAGCTGGCTGTATGTTGAGCCAAACTTTGTTCCAAGCAGCAGAAGGTTGGCCCATCACCAGGTGATGGTGCAGCAGAGGGAGGAACTGTCAAAGGAAGATACAAGTGAGGTAGCAGCCATTCAAACCTAGTTTTCCAAAGTTACAAATGATGGTACCTGTTGGGAAGAATTCCTCTGCATCTTGCGTTATACAGACTCCTGCAAGCCTTCAAACCTTGTATCTGTTCATTGGTGCACTTACTGTCTCCATCCACAATTAGTGTTCATACAGGCCTTTTCTTTTGCACTGTGTTGGGTCTTTGTGATTTTTTTTTTTCTTTTTTTTTTTTTTTCTCCCTTTTTCTTCAGTTGTGAACACAAACATAGCAGTGCTTGTACAGCTGAAGCTACTCATCCTCTTAGCGCTATGGATTTCTGTTGCTGCTTTTTCCCATTGCAGATTACATCTGTATGGTGGGGCAAGCATCTTGTTGCATAGGTTGTACTTTGATACGTATGTGGTGTAGAGAAGCATCAGAAGGCTTAAGGTCTGCTTAATGCAGCACCAGAAGAGCCTCTTTGGAAGGGAGGTTTCTTTGAGATGAGACTGTAAAGAGTTAGGTAGCATCTTGAAAGCAAAACTTTGCTTAGAAACCGGAGGAATCTCTTGCTTCATGTCTCACCCACAACTTGGGGAGATCTCAGAATCAGAGGAACACCAAGGTTGGAGAAGACCTGCAAGATCATCCAGTCCAACAATACACCCATCACCAATGGTTCTCACTAAACTGTGTCCCTCAACACAACGTCCAAATGTTCTTCCTTGAACATCTCTAGGGTTGGTGACTCCACCACCCCCCTGGGCAGCCCATTCCAGTACCTGACTACTCTTTTGGAGAAGTAGTATTTCCTAACATCCAGCCCAAATCTCCCCTGGTGCAGCTTGAAGGCATTCCTCCTAGTCCTAGTTTCAGCTCTTGCCTCAGGCCTATCCAGCAGGTGCTCGGGAAGAAGATGAGGAGAAAGAGAAAGCTAAGAATGAAAGGGAGGAGATATGTGGCTTGTGGGTAGGTGATACTGTGAGTCACAGGAAGGAAGAAGCGTAACAAGGTTGAGTAAAGCATTGTCTATAATCAGGTGCAGCCTATACAAAAGAGATGGAATGGGGCCCTCACATAACATGAGGCAGATGTGATAGGGTGCAGTAATGTGAGGTGTGATGTCACCTAGCCAGTCCTTCAGTAGTCCTGTAATTTCTGCTCTGAAAGACTCCAAGGCCCAGCTGAAATCCCTGCCTTGTTTTTGTTTTTTTTTCTGCCTGAATATCAATCACCAGGACCCATACAGACTGTGTGGCTGTGGTGGAGGTGGATGCCCTAATGCATCAACAGTCCCATCAGCAGTGAGGAGAGACTGCTTGCATGGCTATAGGGAGAAATGCCAAAGTTCTGGAAAACACCAATAAAACATACTCAGCTGAGGAAGCTCAAGATGGTGACTGTGAATCATCACCTAAACTCTATTCAGCTCTGTTACAAGAAAATGTCTCCTCTGATTAGGACATCTCTCTGTCAGCTACTGCACATATGTCTCATCCAACATCCTCCTACGTTTGGAATATCCTGTGCAGGCAAATGAGCTGGCAGCCTCATCGAGGCAGTGACAGAGGATTTAGAAGACAACATTGTGTCTGACCGTGCTGACAACAGCCTTGCCCAGTGTGAAGCAAGCGCCCACCAGCCACAAGGACCCCGGAGCAAGCAGGTTCCTATGAAAGCATGGCCCCTGGGGCTCAGAAACAGTGTAGGTGGTGTGCCAACATTGGCAGTACTTTGTGAGGTTGTGTAACCTCCTGTCTCCTGGGACAATGTGTCTGGGTGAGTAAACTGCACTCTTTATGAGCTCCAAGACTTCTCTAATTAGAAGATATTTGGGTCCATTAGCAAATATTTCACATATTAAAGACCTGCTGGAGCCAATGCTTGTCCCTACAGGGCTGGCTGCTTGGACTCTGTGTATTCGTTAGCAAATGCTGCATTTTGTCTAACTTGACAGTGCACTGTGTGATGCTGTCAATCAAATTCTCCCTCTGCACAAGCATCTTCAGTGGCTTTTCCTTCTGTTTTAGTTACTGTCAC